GACACAAAGTTATTTTAATTTTTCTTACCTTGCCACTTAAATTCGCGCTTTTTAAGATTTTGTTTCACAAATAAATTCGCTATACGCTAGTTAATTTTAGCATAAGATAAGACCGGGAAAACTTTTAATACTTGGTAAAATATTAATATATTAATATTAGGGTTAATATCGTTGAAATTTTCCAAAGAATTACTTTTCCGCATTATACAGCATCTAAAATTTTAACACTTTAACCCATTTTTTTTAAACAAAATAAAGCGATTCTGCACATTTGCCTTCATTAGAAACTAGTATAACGTAATTTATCATTTTTGTGAAAACAAGTTTATCCTCATCATAATAAAGGGACTTTAAGCTTTTTTAGAAATAAAAGCATGAGAGGGAGGATCCACAAGGTTTATGATTACATAAATGATTATCAAGATTCTTATTACCTCATTAAAAGTTGTGATATGCCCCAACAGTAAAGCCAATCATCTCACACCAATATAATGCCGTTGATTCAGATCTTTTATTTTTCCCCGTGTAAATAGCGCACCAGCATCACTAATACAAAATGCAACAATTAAATCCTTCACTGTAAGAAAATAACTAAAAAAAAGGATGAAAACTCAAAACTGGTTTATGAATATGTACCACACGCAATTTAACATGCCAGATTATTGGGCTTTAAGATCGACTTCTTCCTCGCTGGAGTCATTCTAACGTTTAGTATTAGCCGATGATATTTTGCAAATTGTACGTTACACTGGTAGAAAAAATGTGATTCAATTTCACATAGCGAAAGTATTGAGCATAATGTCATTTTTACAATATTCTTACAACGGTTTTACAATGGTTTTACTAATACTGGTGAAAACAATTGTAACAAGGGTTGTTATGCTCAATGCTTTATTTTACCGTGTGAAATCTTTGTGAATTACCAGTGATACTTTTTACATTGCTAGAAAAGAATTGATTCATAATGAAATGTTTATGAAGATTTCGAATTTGTGAAATCACGTTCTTACAATAATTTTTTTGCAATAATTTTAGGTATTTTCACAACCATTGAAAAATCTTTTCATTTCACACAAATTTTACAATTGTGAAATCTTTGTGAATTATCAGTGTTGGAAAAAAGTGTTTAATTTTTATATAAATATTTATGGCATCTAATATAAAGGATGCAATGTAATAATTTCAAAACATTCTCGTAAATATATGTTGTAATGATC